TACTGAAATTAGTGTTCAATTCATTGAAATGGTCGTTCCATTTTAAGGTTTGACTGAATTGAAAGAACTAAAAATGTTGTTACATTAACATCAGTACATGGCACGCCGTTAATTTTCAAGAAAGTACAATGTTTATTTGAAATGGAACACTGCATTAAAACATTTTCTTTTGATTTACTATTAATTTGTTATTACTGAACCAATTTGAACTATCTGATATTGTACAATTTACAGTTTCTTTATTGCAAAGAATATTCGTATCATCCGCAAAGAGAATGTTCATCCGTTTCTAATCGTCGAGGGCATATCGTTTACGTATAGTAGGAAGAGAATAGGGCCTAAAATCGATCCTTGCGGGACTCCACATTCAATTGGCAATGAATCAGAAAGGTGTGTACATAATGTTCCATTATTCCAGTAAAGTATTTCTACTCTGCGAGATCGTTTTTTAAGGTACGAACATAACCAATGTAGAGCAACACCACGAATTCTATACGAAGGTAATTTTGAGAGTAAAATGTTACGATCAATGACGTCAAAAGCTTTAGAAAGATCTTAAAATATTCCAATAGATGATTCGTTTTGATCCATGAACGGCATCTTTACGAAAAGAAAATATAACTTTCTGTAGATTTTGATTTTCGAAACCCATGTTGGCAATCTGAAAACGCGTGTTGTTTAGTAAGAAAGGTTTCCATTCGTACGTAAAAAGTAGTTCTAATACTTTTGAAAAAAGCGACATAAGAGAAATGGGCCGATAATTTTGAATTTCATTTTTGTTGCCTGTTGTGAAAAGCGGCTTAATCTTAGCTGCGCATACGGATACATAAAATTTGTGAGTTAACAGGCGCGCAAACCTTTATCAAACAATCCAGAATATTTATTTTCTAGTCTACCGAGTATTTTGAGAACTTCATAGGAAAGAGTTTCGGAAACAAACCCGTGCCTAAAAGTTTTGGGGAAACGTCTGATGCTGAATTTTGTGACTGAAGACCATTTCTGAGATCGACAGCAATTCTAGAAAAGTATTGGTTAAAGAGACTAGCCACTGTTTTCGGATCGTTCAATTTTCTATCGTTCTTTTTTAAAACATTCTCTACAAGGTTTCTAGTTGATTTGGTCTATTTTTTCTATATTCTACATTGCTTTTGTTTTATTATTTGAGTTCAAAATATCCTTGTCATGTATTCTTTTAGCCTGACTTTTCTTAACAATGATTTGTATTTTTTAAAGTAGAGGAGGAAACCTTGAGATTTGTTATGATGCTTAGAAATGAAAGAAAGAATTCGTTTGTTTATACATGATGCCCTAATCCGTATTGTACAATAACTGCTTTTCCATGAAATATTCAATTTTCTCTTTTGATGAGGAAACCAAATGTTAAAGTGAAATGAAAGCGCTGCGAAAAAAAATTGTATTTATCGTTTGTATCAATAGTATTGTAAACCGCGTCCCATGACTCTTGCAGCAAGTAACTGATGAATAATTTTATATTACTTTTAGTAAACAATCTACTCATACGTGTATTATTTATTGTGTCAGTGTTCGCATTTCTTATAATGGTAAGAATTTGTGCATCGTGATCACTTCATCCTAAATCTTTTGTTTCGATTTGATATCGAGTAATGGCTTTATTAATTATTTGATCAATTGCCTTCTTTGAATTTAGTTTGTTCCGTGTAGGTACATTTATTGTAATATCTAAATTGGAGGAATGAATTAAATTGAGAAACTGCTCTTTCTTGGAAGATTCGACCAGAAAACCAATGTTTAAATCTCCACATACAACAATGTATTCAAAAGAGCGATTGGCGACTTTGTTTAGTGTTACCTCCAGTTTTTTTAATAACATAATATAATCTATAGCTCTCTTTGTTGGGAGGCCTATAGATTCAAAGTAAAATAATTTTTAGCGTAGGAAGATGTACAACATATTTCAAAAACATTTTGAAGGGTATACACATTTAACTCCGTCAAGGAAATATAATCGATATTACGAACGTAAATGCAAGAATCCACATATGCAGGACCTATATACGATTCCTTCTCTCTACAATAATTGCCTGCGAGGTAAAAGTTTGGAATTCGAAAAATGATAAGTTCATTATGAAATAACCAATGTACTGTAAAGCAAAGAACATCCTTTTGATTTAAATCGGTCTGTAGATTTGCTTCGATAAATCAGTTTTATTTGAAAGGGGTAAACATTATGGTGCAGTACGTTTATCTTTTGCTAGTACCTACACGCTTTTCTACTGCATCTTACTGTAGTTTTTATATATTTACTCCATTTTTACCTGGTCGAAGGTTTTAGTGTGTCCCGGTAGAGGCAGGTTGTGAGGAAACTGAGACATCAGGTGTTGAAGAATTGGTAGTGGGAGGGGGAGAAACGGGAGAAGGATCAGGGGAGGTAAGTGGGTTCGAAATAAGGGTGGGGGTGGAGAACGTAAGGAGGGTGAAAGGGATGGATTTCTGGCAGGAGACTGCGTAAGACTGCAAGCTTGAGCCAGCTTGTTGGCGACTCCATGTTTTCCAGCAAGGTTCATGTGTAGACCATGCCGGGTGAAGTGTTTTGCTGAGGGGAAATTCATTTCAAAGAGTGTAACATTTGTTTCTTTCAGTTGCAGTTCTAATTGTGGGTTTGCGTGCAACAATCAGCTGAGATCGTTTTGAGGAAGGGGGAGGCTTCAAAATATGTTACATGAAATATAAAATACAACAGACAAATTATTCTTGGGTTACTGAATTTAATGTTTATTTTCTACAATTGTACCGTCGCTAGGTTACTATACGAGGGTCGTCCCGGAAGTAATACCTTTTTTTTTATTTGTATGGCAACAATTATTATTATTATTATTATTATTATTATTATTATATTATTATAGCCCTTTACAATCTCGTAGGGGGTGGGGCCTTCGGTGCCGGGTGGGTTACAAAGTGGTAGAATTCCGGAGCACCCAATTGAGGAATTTCCTTGTATAGTCGCTACTCACAAAATATGAAAACATAACATTGTTTAATATGTCAATGGCAACAATATAAATAAAACTTGTGTGTTACAACAGTTTCTTTGGTACACAACACTATTTTTTAATGTAGTCCTTTCTTTCAATGCATTTTATCCACCAATGAACAAGACCCTGCATGCCACACTGGTAAAAATCTGTTCCAGCTGAGGCGACACGTGCGGGGAATTCTGATGGCGCCATTCCACGGGTTATCGTTTTATTTCTGGGTCATAATGGTGACCGTGTCTTGTCATTAGTGATTATTCGACCCAGAAAACCGCCACCTTCAGCTTCGTATAGGGTCAAAAGCTCCTCATAAACTTGTATTCAGTTCTGTTTGTATTCCTGTGAGTGATGGCGGGACCCACCTTCGCACAATTTTCGCTAACTCCGTTTACTCAGTTATGCCTCTAATGCATTGCAGCTAATGTTCAGCGCCGTACCATCGCCACCGTGATAAGGCCTCTGCAACGGATCGCGATATCACGGGTGGTTACATCTCGTCTTGTCCCTTCTTTCGTGCATGGCAGGCGAATGGCAACCCTCATTATACGAAACCATAATAAAATTCCACGACTCTTTCGACTATAATATTTTACGGTGAAATTACTTAAAACACCTAAAAAGGTGTACTTCTGAACCGAAAAATTATTCCACTGACAATGTCATGAATATGTGAAAACATAAATTCGCAAAGAATAAGACACGAGACCATCAACTATCAGGAATTATGTAGTCATAATTACAATAATAATGTCTAACAATTTACATTCACAAAGTTCAGAATTTAAATGGTAATTTGTTACATTGTAAGAATACGATGAATAGATACATATCCATCTCATTTAATAATTATTATTATAAAATGACAAACAATGAGGGACATAATATATTTTAATAATAATTATTAGCATCTCTTGAAAACTTGCAACTTTTTTTAGGAATTAACGTTTTCAAAATCATTTCCTAGTTTGCAATAATTATTTAATAAAATATTTACAACACTCCACATAACCATTTCAGAAGTTTTCGTTCTCGTATGATCATTTGTGTCACAATAATTCTAAAATATTGCATTATTTTTTAATACCTGAAGTGTTTTGAAAGGAGCAAATTGTTTTTGGCTATTAACCTTTAAAAACATTTCCTCATATTGAAACCAAAGCTTTGAAACAACTACATATGTATATAGAACAATTTCCGCCAATCTTAAAGAAGGGATCATGAGTTGTTTCGTCTACATTGATAGTGAATTTCACTACCTCATTGTGACGACTAATGTCTTTTTCCCGGAAGCTGAAGTACATTATTTGTTCCAAACATATCGTCTTTTTAAAAAATGTAAAGAATAAAATTTAAACTAATTCAATATATCAGTTTTGTTAAAATAAAAATTATTTTTCTTTTTGATAATCAGTATAATCTATTTGTATAGAAGCAGCTATACAGCAGAAAAGATAGTCTTTCACGTCGCACGTCTCTGCTTCTGACGAGCGTTCCCCTTTAGCGCACTGCAACTGTGCTTCTGACAAATAACGAACATAAACAGAAAGGATAAAATTTGAGACACTGAGAGCAAGATTGGACTAACCCCAACCTTCCCCAGAAATAATCAAGGTAGAAAGATACTGGATTTAGCAAACATAGCTGTTCTTTACCTGTTCATTGTATGCGACAAATTTGAGCTCCTAACAGTATTTCTGGTCTCTTAAGGGATAATACAACCAAATGACATCTTTAACTTGCAAATTAATAAGCAAATAAATGAGGAATAAAATACAACGTACTCATTTAAATACCTACAAAATAGTGAGAATTAGTTATTGTTCGTTACATACTATTTTAGAGGAATACGATCTATAGTTTGTTTAAATCATTGAACAGCTTTCAAAAACAACGTCACGAAATAATGAAATTACAACAACCACAAAGGTTCTCAAAAACTTTTATTGCACATCATAATCTTCACTACCAAGATACGATACGGGTAACATTTGCAGGCTTTGCAACAGCTGTCCGCAAGTGCTTATAAAAATGATGGTGAACTGGTGGAATGAAGTCCAGTAGACTCAGCAAATCTTTATTCTTCAGTTCAGTCATTGCTTTACCTTCTGGATACAGCAGTTCTAATTCCTTTATAAGAGTTGATGTCCTCTTGGCCACGTCGGCTTTATGAAATACTTCATCTGTTTCATTGGAATATTTAAAAAGTATATCAAAAGGCTGATTTTCCACAAATCGTAGCCGCTGGATCCTGAACCACTCTACTTTAGTTTGATCAACCGATATTTTTCAGTTAGTAATATTCCTTTCAACCATTTTTGTTGAAAAAAGTCATCTTAACTTATGTGAACTAATTTGAAAGGATTTTTCTTCCTAGCAGCCGCAATAATTTCATTCCAGTGTTCTGGAATGTAAACATTTTTAAAATAGTTCGGTTGCTTTTAAATCAAGCCAGAATCTTGATCACAAGGTAAATACGAATGACCACTGCCTAAACATTTGTGATCAATTTCATTTACTATGTACATAGGATTGGAAACTAAGTACTGACACATAAGTGAAAGTTTAATATTTCTATTTTGACCACCGCACTGATCCGAGTACATAATTAACCGTGAAGATTTTACAAAATGGCATACCCCTGTTGAAAATACAGGGTTTTGTAAGGTCATATGTTATATTTGATGTAGCATGTAAAGTATCGTTCTGCAAGCCTTTACGTGCACACTAAGCTTTCCTCAAATGTTGTTCTTTCTGTGAGATAAAAGAACTGTCGTTTGGTAAGACCTTTATTTTGATCTGGAAATAATCACATTTGTTTGGAATGAAAGATAAATTAAACTGTTCAGTGAACGTTGTGCGAAATATATGATCAGATACTGGGTTCACTGTTTCTTTGCAATATAATGAATACATAATACTGATATTTAAATCAGGTGCCAAATTCTTTCTACTCGGTTTGGGTATGGTATAGTGACTTCCGTAAGATGGAAATTTGTCAACAAACACTTCATATCAGCTATTTTATCCGACTGTGTTTTGTTGGCAGATTCACATCGTCCTCTTTGGTCAAGTGGAGAAGTTTCACTAATACTTTTCTGCGTCAAGATTCTGTCCATTCTTCCAGCAGATAATGCCAATGTGTTCTGAAAAAATGGTTTGCAATCTTGCACGTCACTACCATGATTATCAAGCAAAACTTATTGCTTGGTATTTGCCGTCGAAAAGGAAACGTGGTATACGTTCATGTTTTACAAATACGGATACTGTTAAATAAAAAGGCAGATTGCAAATCGAAATTCGCCAATCCATAAAAATCATTAAATATTTTACACTGCTTATCTGCACGTATCTTTAGGTGGCATTGCTTCATACAAGAACATGGCCCCATTCTGCATTATTTTTCAGGTGTAATCTTGCCCTTACCATTTACACATTCTCCCCCTTTGGCTCGTCTGTTTTCTCACATTCCGTTTCAAATCTTTCTCATTCCTCAAACGGTTTTGCTTTTCATAATGTTCACCTTATCAGGGGATGATGATGGTCCTGGTATTGAGTACGTTTCCAAACCTTCGTTAACATCGAACCGCTCTGAATCAGGTTTGTGATGGTCACCTTCCTCCTCCGATTGAAATAATCTGTGAAGTTCAATATCAAAAGTACAGTTAGTATTTTCGTATAATCGCTGCACAATACGATAGCACACACAAACAATAACATACCTTCTAATTGTTCCTCTATAGTTTTATGTTCTTTTGATCCGTCATTGTAACGTCAACATCTACCAACACACTACGCCTGCACTACGCGATCTTACGATGTGAATCAATGTGTCGTGACGTGCATACTGCTATAGCAAGTTGTAGCAACTAATACACAAAGCAACATCGCCGCATCGTGCTGGACAGACTGCGCGTAGCGAACACTGGCGGTGGTTCAGGGAACTACTGCAGAAGTGGACTAATGAATCATAGTCCACTCTTGCTCCGTGAAAACATGGAAAAGGCTCAGCGCAAAAAGGAGTACTTGGCCCCTCGTCTCCGTTTACCATATAGAATGTGAATATTTGGATTTGATGGGTTTTTATACTTCACTTAGGCATCATTTCAAGCAGTTAACGTAAAACTGCAACAAATGTGGGTTAGTCCACTTTTGCTCCCAGTGCCTCATTTCACTATAACACCATTCACACTCTTCTTGAGGTCATACGCCAACGTAAAAAATGGCATTACTTTCGGGACGTCCTTTGTACGCTGTATCGAATTCAATGGCTTAGAGAAAAAGGTTAGTTTTGGATTCAAGAGCAGCACTGGCACCAATAAAACAGTTTTTAAAATCAGTTTAGGGGTACTGCAAACATCCCGTTTTTCGGCTTTTTCTCTCTAAGTTTTATACAATAATGAATATTGGTATTTTTACTAACGATTTTTGACTGAGAAGTGCGCTCGTTATCTCGCAACAATTATATAATCATAAAACGTTACTTATTTTCATATAAGCTCAACTGTTTTCAATGGAATCCTATGCTATATTTTAGCGACATAATGGGCTTAAAAAGACTAATACAAATTGTTATGATTAAAGTAGGACGGAAGACAGACTAAGTTCATTAAATATAACATGAAACTTTATTGTACTTCAAAGCTTGGAACAACAATATACGCGTTGCTACAACTTCCGCCCCATTCCGGCGCGTTGCTGCCCAATGGGGCTCCATAACTGCTGCGCGACCCTCGTTCGCACTACCAAAGGCGTGGCTCCCCTCACTTTCAACTCTGCAGCCCCTCGCGCTGCTTGCGCGGGCCCTGACCCGCACTCGGGGCGTCCGGGTGCGAGCCTCCGGCTCGCTCTTGCCAATGAAGTGCTCCACACTATTCCCTCCACGCTCGCTTCGCGCTGACTGGGCGCAGGTTCCACCGGCCGTCCTCAGCCGTGTCGGCGTCGCCGGACGCTGCCTACTCTGCTCCCGTGCCTATGGCGACTCGTGCTGGACTCCGGACTGACTGGCCGTGACTGACGCACTCTTACTGCAGTCCCTGGGGCTTGCTTGCCGCCTTACGTGTGCGAGGCGACTTCATTCCCCTGCCTCGCCGCCCGCCTTCCACTCTGGTAGCTGCTTGCTCCAGATCCGCGCGCTGCACTGCCGCGTGCACGCCAATTCACAAATATGTGATTATCTCTGCATTTAAGCGAATCGTTTATTAGAAATTTATGTGCTTTTGTTGTGTATGTTTTCACTGAAGCGGCGACCTTTCCTGCGGAGTAAATGGGGAACTTCGGGAGCCCGTCCTTTAGGTACACGCGCTCATTTATTTGAGCACAGCAACAACTACTTTCTTCGATACTAATTTTGCCAAAAGATGACTTCGCAAGGAAGATTCACATGCTGAATACAAGATCCCCGAAAGTTCTTGTTTTGTCGCTCAATATTCTGTTTTTAGACAACTGACATTTTATTAACACCTATATACACGTTACAGTTTTCGTGCAGATTTTCACAGTTTCTGTACAGCAACTTCAAGATCCCAAACTAGACGTATAAAAGCCAAACGTCGAGCATACACGGTCTGTATTTTTTCGGTACGAATCGCCACAAAACGCCGCTCTGGAGTCCACCAAATTGGAGTTTACTTTCAGTGGCGGTATTTCTGTGTGCATTCTGGGCGTGATCTTAAGTATTAATTAGCCACGAGCAAAGAAGAAAAATAGAAAGGCGGAAATAGAGAAAAGAGGTATTTTATCACAATATCAATTCACATTCGCACCTTGACACACCTAACCACAAAATCGAAATGGTCAATTAGTCACGTCCAGTCAGTCCGGTTAGTGAACAATTCTGCAGCTAGAGGCGCTTGAGTCGAACTATAAGCTTTCTGCATGAAAAATTACGAGCATGCTCTAAAGTTTTTATGCAGAAATCGTGCAGTGTGGATTGCACGTTTTCTGTACGTACAATCTGCACGAAAATAGTACAGTGAATACCAGCGTTTATAAATTTTATGTAATACAAAATTAAATGAACAATACTTTATTAATAATAATTTATTCGAAACTATCAGTCACATACAAATAAAATACATTGAACAAAATACATAAAATACATACAAATATCAAACCAAATACATTGTTACAGAACACTGCTTTGCCTAAGCATTTGCTCGAAGTATTGTCCATCTGCTGCAATGCACATTTGTGCGGGTGTCACTTGAGATACTCGACATAGATTTGGTGATAGGTCGCTTCACATCGTCTGGCGTAGTTGGAACATCTGAATAAACTATTTTTGAGCGCCCCAAAAGAAAAAGAGTCAAATCGGAGACCACGTAGGTCACTTTAGCACATCGTCTGATCCAACAATCCAATCACCTTATTTATTATTTTTGTAGCCACATGTGAAGAGTGAGAAGGACCGTCATGTTGGAACCACAAGCACTGACGCGTATCCAGAGGTATCTCTTTTTAGCAATGTGAGTAGAACGTTTCAAGGATAATGTGCATACGCCAAACATATTGCCACATCATGTGCCTGGGATGAAGGTCCTTCAGTGAAATTGCCCGCGATGCCATAACACTCCACGATTTCTGATGCTGTACTTGCCGAATCCAGTGAGGATTTTCTATTGTCCAGTAATGCGCATTTCATACATTCATATTACTGTGGTTAATAAAGTCACTTCATCCGTAAAAAGCAAAGGTTTAAAAAATCGAGGTTCGAAATCCCAACCTTCGAGTACTTGATTGGGATCTGGATGGAATGTGTGCCTATGCAATATGTGAAGGACACTCATGTGACTTACACCACATTCCTAGGCTACATGTCGCATAGCTATCCACATGCTAGTTCGCGTCCATGCCAGAATAACCTCTTCATGTGCGTCGTCAATCGCTGTTTTCTGCCTTGTCTGTTTGGCGTTCTAACTTCTCAATTCCAATTTTTCGAACACATACTTGCAAGAAGCTGGCGTCTAGGGAGCTGATGCTTAGGGTACATCTCTCCATATCGTTGCATTGCTCTAACGGCGTTTCTTCCTCATTCACCATACACTAGCAGCACATCTAACTTCTCTTCATTGGTGTTCTAATAAACTCTGCTCTAAAAACCTGGTAGCAGTGTACTATCATTGCCCCTGCGGCGAATTTTATACTCCTGGCCTCCGACCTGTTATCTACTCGTAGTACGTGACTTTTGAGCCGTTTTTTGAAAGCAGGCAAAACCAATGAGACATTTTCCTCTAGTGCCTCAGCGGAGAACAGGCAACGTCGAATAGAAAAGTGCCACTTCAGTACAAAAATACGTTACACAAACACCAATTTCCAAAAATCGATTCGCTTACCTTCACAGATATACATATATTTGAAATTGTCTCTTTAGGCCCATTACGATACGCTAAAATTTAGCATAGGTTTCCACTAAAAAAATAAAGTTGAATTTATATGTATGCTGTACTCAAGTAGCTCATGTTTATGCAATCGACTGCCCTAACGGCATTTCCGTATCTTGCACAGTTGAGGAGATACAAGGGGTGTTAACTCTTAGTTCTTCCACCCGGTATACATATACACTAGTGGAACCGGCATTGCTTCTCTATTGCAGTGTATTACACATCACACACTACTGATCACGTGATTGTTAATTACATTTTTACATTACGCTGTGCAAAAATTCTAATAGATGAAAGGCTTTATCGCCAATATGTGTTGGTTCTATGCCCTGGAACAAGCTGTTTGATTTCAAGTACTGAGGAGACTGGAAGGAGAATGCGTTACGGCCACGTCCGGAAATCGTTTAGAAACAATTTGGTAGATTAGCATGTAGTCGCCTGCTAATAGCAGGTTTTTCCCCTTCGTAACTTTTTTCCTCGACCGTACCTTTAGGGTCTTTTTTCTAGAAGCCAGAATTGCGCCATCACCCCCACATTTTTTAAATCACAAAATAATAATAATAATAATAATAATAATAATAATAACACCGTGAAATTGTAAATTGCATAGTTTTTCCGCAAATTAAAAAAAAATTGGAAGGTGGTGACGCAATCCTGGCTTCGGATTCATCGCTTCGACATACATAAAGAAACATGTGTCAACTCTTGGGTCTGAAAACAACCCCCGCAAAAAAAGTCATGGTGTTCTTTTGCAATTCAAAAACTGGAGAGTGGTGGCCTAATTCTAGCTTCACATTCGGATTCAGCGCGTTGACATACAGAAACGTGTGTCAAGTCTTTGGGTCTTATTTATTTTACTTAATTACAACCTTTTTATTTTGTATGCCTGTGTTTTGGATCGGGGCGAACTTAAGTTGTTATATTATGACATTGAATATATATTGAATTAGAATGTTAAAACTGTCTTCTCTTGTGTGTTAGAAGAATGGAAGTGGAATTACAGTACTGGTTACAATAAAGTCGGATGTTGCTTTGGGTTATGAAATAATCTACGTTCTATTTTTTTTCAATGTTTCTTATTTTTATTAGTTTATAAACACAAATATGAATTACCATTTAAAAACGTAATTATAGAGCGAACCTTCTTCCCCCTCACTTCCGTATCATTGAAACACTGTACGCCCACCCTCGCGTGCGATTTTTGGGACGTCACAGCATTGAGTTTGCAAGCAGTTGTAGACAGTGAGGAGTGAGAAGGGGACCCCAAAGCCGCCCGGACCATAGTTTGGGTGGTCCCCTGTTGGGCTCTTGGCTTCGTCGTGGCAGTGGATCGATGCTCTGGGCAAAGAGATGAGACTTGTTTCCGGCGCAATTTGACTCCGGCAATAGCCTGGAAAGCTAGTAGCTCTGAGCACGCAGGGCGACCTTCCTCCCAGGCATTGAATGGGGAGGTTGCCGTGAGGGCAAACTGCGTTACAGCGGGGGGTGCGGATAAATGTGAAAAGGTTAGGTGCCCAGCCCGGGGACTTCTGCCCCCTTGTAGAACAAAAAATTGTGAGGAGTTCGGCAAGGTCCTTACCCGTGGCATAACGTTCGGACTGGGCCAGGTAAAACAGAGCCTGTTTTAGGGACTATTTTTATTATTTAAGGTACTAACACTACTTTTGTTTGCTATACTTTTTCATAAAGAGGATCTGTATAAAAGTTTTGCGGGTGGGCACGCACTAATTTCGTAACGTTACTGGTTCTTACATACCCACATTGTTCCCTAGAGGGGCCAATTTTTTTTTTAATTAAAAAAAAAAAAATAAAAACCAACTAGGAAATCCCCGATTAGACAGAACTGTAAATAGTAGCTAATGATAGGAAACCTAATTTACTTAATAAATTTGCTTTTAAATTCTCATGTTACCTTCACGATAAATGCAAATGGAATCTATAAAGGGAATATGTAAATGTAAAGGCACCGAAAGTTCAGTCTTGCTTGCTGTATTAAATATAAATGTGTCTTCCAGCTACCCTGCAAATAAAAGTTTTCAAATCACTCCTAATTTTAAATTGTTTAGTCTTGGAAATACTATGTTAGCTTACTTTCTATAACTTGGACACATTTTCAATAATCTTGATGTAGCCCCTGAAGAATCGCATAGCTACAAAAATTGTAGACTGTCTAGGTCCATGATTCCATCATACATTCAGTGAGGTAAACCACCTAAATACCCAAATTAACTCCTTAGAATCACAAAGTAGATGAACCCTAAAAGCGATGTCAAAGAGGGGAAAGGTGGACAGGGGCAATACACAGTTGTCACCATGTGTAGAACTTCTACTTATTTTCAATGCTAATGAAACTCGCTCAATAAGTCAATTATTGTGAATGTCATAAAACGAATAAGTCAAATTAAAATACATTTCATATTCAGCTTAAATGAGCATATAAGAACTCATGTGGGCTGGCACTACAACAATGAATGAAAAACAAACACTTTTAAAATAAATGTCAAAATAACTGGTCATCTGATTCAACAAAATACCTACACCAAGTCACTGTTCTCTTACATTCCCTGCTGAAAGTGAGCACACTTCTGATATAAAACACTTATCATCCAAGTTTTTCTCTATAGAACCACAGATTCTCTGAGGTTCTATTGAGTGCAAGGGTGTAAGACACAGAGAAACCACATACAGTAAGTATCTGTCATAAAAAATATATAAACAATACTTTCTTTCAAATAATACAAAAAAATAACACTAACGCTCTTCAAGGAATAATACCTGGTTCTAGAATTGCTTCAAAATACCCCTCGCTTCTAACGATTCTTATTTAAATTTCCCACTTTTTCATGGCTTACCAGCAAGTGATCACCCTGAAGCATTAATTTTTTTGGAGATAGTTTTAACATGTTTCTGACTATCAAGACTTCTTCAAAATATTTGATTCAAGGAAGATTGAACTAAAAAAGTTATTCCATTAAACAATAATTCCACAATTTTGAACATTTTCTTTTACAGATGAGGTGATTTCTCACAGCTTACTGTGCATGCATATTTACTGAACAAAATGAATGTTTATTACTGAGAGAAACTTGCTAAACAATTGTTTCTACACTAAGTGGAAGAGAAATTAAAATGGCTTAAGCCTCGCCATTAATACACTTTATTATTAAATTACAGAAATGAAATTAGTCTTGAAATTAAAAAGTATTAATCTCGTAAAGCATTAACCTGTGATTTACAGCCCAATTTCTAAACTTCAATTATTATATTTATTTGATGCCAAAAGTAGTAAAAAAGTGACATTTGTGTGGGAGAAAAACTACATTTATTGATCATAAACAAAGCAAAGCATAATTTCCTTGACAAAGCATGGGACTGGCATTTAAACAATGTTCAATGAATGAAGATATCTGAACAAAAAATCCAATTGCGATGGAGTAATCGACCAACTGAAAATGACAATAAACCTATATAAAGATATTCAGAAGATCTTATTTTACACTTTAAAAGTGCATGTAAGCAAATAGCTATTGAAAACATTAATATAAACACTTTTAGAACACAAACGTTTTTTTCTTAATTGCACAATCATAAGATTGCAAATGTTATCAACTGCATCATAAAATGACAAATGTAACAAGCCTTCAGCTTTACCAGGTAGAACTTACCACTGCAACCTTTTTTGATGCTTTTGTTGCATACGTTGCAACAGATAAATGTGAAGATAATACTCTTGTAGTATTTTTGGTGAAAAGGCCCAACATAATTTATCTATAAGAAAACAAACGATATCAGCCAATAATATGTGAAACTAATTGTTTTAAAATGATAATCGAGTATAAATAATTCAATTGTAGCACTCATAAATTACATTTAAGGTACAAATTTGAAAAAAAAAAAACTATAAAAGAATTCACAAGAGCACCAGTATCTACAGGCATAACATAAAAAACATGCAAACTTTCTTGACCTTATTTCTTAATTTCTGTCACGAATGATATTTTATGTATTTAACACTTTCCAATTTCTTGAAATATATTCCTATGATTAACAAGGCAAGTAATTTCATTCAGAATACAAATGTGGAAATATTTGTTTATGAATATAGGAGATTATGAGCTGTTGATTAAATTTAGTCATTAATCAACAATTTTTTACGAAAATGAACTGATGTGTTACAGCCTTCAGGAACGATAAAAGCCTAATTGTTGGTGAATTTAAGGAATTGTTCGATTTTGTAACGAAACGATAATCATATAATCAGTTTGCATTATCCTTTATATCAAGTATTCCTGATAGATAATATTCCTGTGTATTGTATACATTTTACAGATTTATTCCCATTTTGCTATGTATAACAGTCCCATAACCTCCAATATGATATCGCATTATAAAAAATTAATAAAACAACGTATCTTCATGATCACAATACATTTACCTTTAAAAATAACTAAATGTAATGTCAGGTTCGTTTTCTTCCGACAAAAACCGACACTTCCAAACTATCACCGGAGAGTTCTGTGCGCTAAACCGGTGACACCTAGTTTCGTTAAAAGCTGAATCCCCCAGGGCCGGTTCACTCAATGTTAAAAGGCGGGGGACTAAGTTTGTTTCCTCACTCACCCGGACC